GGGAAAGAGGTTCTTTTTGCAAAACAAGTTTTATAACCTTCTCCTTCCTCAACCGTCTAACATGGTATGATTTTTTCATTGTCTGAATAATCGTAACTCTGTTTTATACAAGAAGGAAATCCTGATTTTCATGGGTTTATGGAAAAAATTAGAACCCTGAATTTTTTTTTGGCGTTTGTATTGGCATATTGTGGAATCTATAAGATGTGATTTAGATTTTTAATGACTAATTATTAGCATAGAATTAAACACTGAAAGAAAGTTCATGAAGTTGCTGCAAACCAAAAATGTTCAACTCAAAGATAACGGCATTTTGCTTTTACTCAATCTTCTTCCCCAACCAATAGTGTCTTGACGATCTTATCAACCATCCCATCAACAAGAGGCAAGAAATGGCCTGACCCTGCAACTTCATGGTACTGAATCCATGGAAGATTTTCGGCGATGTGTCGTTGAATCTTCACGGGCACGAACCTATCCTCATCGCCGTGCCACACATGAACGGAACCGACTCTGTTCGGGAACGGATCTTTGATGTCCAAAGGATCGAATTCCCAGCTGCCAAACCCAACTATCATGTCCCGATGAAGGCTCTCGTATTCCCCTTGTTGCCTTGCGTAAGCCTGGTTGGGTTTGGAGAATCCGAGCTTAGTCAAGATCTCTTTGTCTTGACGGGAGAGTATGTCGGGGTTTCCAGCGATGACGTTAGAGATGGGGAACCATTTCTGAGTGTTCCACCAGAAGGTTAGCCAGGGCGCATAGTGAGCCACCCGAAGAGCCCATTGGTCAGCTGGAAGCATCTGAGTGAAGCCTTCCTTCGCCATGTTTTCCGGTAGGTTTCTCCACCAGTAGTTTATCACCGGTGCAACCAGCGTCGCTCCCGCCAACCTGTGAGGAATGTAGTTAAGGCAGGTCCAAGTGATTTGAGCTCCCATGGAGAGACCGAGGACGTAGAACTTGGAACCAAGTCCCAACCCATCGGCAAGCTCTTCTATGTCCAAAGCTATGCTTCTTGGCGTCCGGTTCGGGTCGGGATCACTCTCTCCATACCCCGGTCTATCAAACGACACCATGTATATCCCCATTCCCTCCACCATACCCTACGATATCGAACCGTATATGAGTCGTATATAATAATACCCATGTAATGTACGAGGAAAAAAATGTACGGTACAGGAGACAAGGCATCGGCGAAGTAGTTGTCGTGACGGCAAGAATCGAAGCCGTGGACATATACGATCTTGAAGTTGGCCTCGTTTCTTGGAACTCCGTGTTCCTTGTACGCTAAGTGTCTTCCGTCTCTGAGTTTGATCCTCGGCGGCGCCGTCACGCCGGCGGTGGAAGAGATGGGTTTCGGCGGCGGAGGTTGTGTCGCCTGATAGAGCCAGCCTGCCACTCCGACGAAGGCCACCAACAGGACTGTCTTCAAAACACCTGCAGATCTCAGATTTTTCTCACTTCTTTTGACCAGAAATTCAGATGTCTTTCCAAAAATCCTTTTTCTTGTGTGGAATAAAATCAGTTTTCCCCCCTTTTTTTTGGCTATCTTCTTCGTAGCTCATGCGATAAAGGATGAAGAAGACAAAGATTCCTCAGCGTAATCTGTGAGACCGAACACTTTCAACAACAACATGAACTTACCAGAAGAAGATTTTTTCTTAGTATTTCTGGTGTGCGATCTCGCAGAAGCTGCGGATATCTTCCTGTTCGTTCTTCCTCCCGACATTCTCCTCTCTCTGTAAAATATTTTCCGGGAAAGTTTTAGATACCCAGAAAAAAAAAAAGAATCAGAGGAGGACACAGTGAGAGTAGATAGACAGTTTGCTCTTTTATTGATGTATCAGATTTTTCTACTTGGCTCTGTCCTGACTGGATGAGAGAGAGAGAGAGGGAGAGAGAGAGAGAGAGAGAGAGAGAGAGAGAGAGAGAGAGAGAAGGGTTCCTTCCATTATTCAAAAATTTCTTTATAAAAAAAAAGTGGGTACATTTAATTTCTGGGCTGCAGAAAAGTACACGTGACCCCATTTTCTACGTGACTTTTCATTACTACGGCCTCCGGGTGACGACAGAGTCTCGAAATATGGGGTTTGAAATGCGCGAATTCTATTTTTGTTTTTAATTTAAGAAAACCATTTCATTTGTTTCTATTTAATTGGAAAAAATAACTAAATTCATATTTTATATAGAGATCATTTGCAAAATATATATTTTGTTACCTTTTTTTTAATAATTTCAAGAGTGCCCAGACAATAATCCATCAAGTCAAGTGAAAATTCACCATTATTATATTGCTTTTGTTCTCCAAAAATTTTCACTCTCATCATTTTCAAATTTTCGATAAAAGAATAATTTTTGTATATTTTTGAGATTTTATTGTATTTATGCGATAAACAAATCGAAAAAGGTGTATTTCCTCTTACTTAATTAGCTAAATTTGTATTTTCGATTGATTTTATATTGTTTTTCGGCATTCGTTATTGTCTTTCATGTTAAAAGTTTTCTTGTGTCAATTCTATACACTTCAACGTTTGTTGTTGTTGATTCCGACGAAATTTGGATATCTCTGTTTAAATTTTTAATCTTTGAACCGTATGTATTCATCTCTGATAACACTGACAGTGACGAAGCAAAGAAACAGATTCGAGAAGCCCAGTTCGAACCCAGTTCGAGAAGCCCAGTCCGAGAAGCCCATTTCGAGAATGCTGAAACAGATCCTGCCATTATCAGATTCGACGCTCTGCAACAACCACAAAAGGAAACAAGCAAAATCAATTCCAATCACCAACGTTAAGTATATCTCTTTGAATATGCAGATTCTCTTTCTTTCCTCCATCCTTTCCTTTTTTTCTTTCTGTGTAAAAATCTCATTATCATCATCTTCTGTATAAACCCTACAATATATATACAAAGGCAATCAGAGAAAGAGGAACAAGAAGTTCCTGAGTATTTTTCTTCAGATTCGAGTCTGTTTCAATATCAAAGACTAGAAAAACTTTCATGGTATCAGAGCAAAAGATCAACCAAGGATTCTGTTGAAGTCGTTCTTCTCCAGATCTGTTTTTCGAAGCATCTGTTTTTTTTTTCACTCCAAAGTTCGCCATGGAATCCGCAGCAATCAAGTTGGTTCCCGTTATCTTAGATGGCGAAAATTACTTTTATTGATCCAAGGCTGCTAAGGCTGTTCTCAAAAGCCGCGGTCTATCGAAATACATCTCCACACCTCAAGGTGCAGAAACCAGAGAAGTTGTTCCTGTTGCAACAGAAGACAACAGCAAGGAAGACATCCTTGCTCTTGCTATCCTTCAAAGTTCTCTCGATCCTCAAATTCTCAAGTCCTTCATTGCCCCGGAGACGGCCAAAGCATTGTGGGACGCACTTCAAAGTGTGTATGGTAACGTCACAAACCTATGTCGTATTTTTAAGATAAAGAAAAAAATGTTTCAGCTGCAACAAAGAGGCCAATCGTTTAATACGATCCATGGTGAGCTTAGTGCCCTTTGGAATGAGCTAGAAGAGCTCCGACCACCGGCCGTTGATATCCAAACATTCAAAACGCGTTTAGAGGAAGACAAAATGTTCTCTATTCTTCTCACCCTTGATGGCTCTTACAACCACTTGGTGTATCATGTCCTTCGTCAAGACACTTTACCTAAATATGATGAGGTGTGTATGCTGATCAAGAGGGAGGAAGGTGGCCACAATCTCTTTGCGGGACCGAGCGAAATTAGGGGTGGTCATTTCGGTTATTAACCGAATAACCGAACCGAATAAGACATAACCGTACCCGAACCAAACCCGACATCAAAACCGAACGGTTATGATTTCCTTAAACCCGAAAAACCGAAACCGAAACCGAACCGAACCGAATAAAAAATAACCGAAAAAAACCGAGAGAATAACCGACAATTTCTTTGAAATATTGAACTTTTTACCAAAACCGAACCGAACCCGAACCGAAAAATAACCGAACCGAACCGAACCGAAATTTATATAAAAACCGAATGGTTATAGTTTTTCTATAACCGAAATAACTGAACCCGAATATAACCGAACCAACATGCTTCTTTCGCGTGATCGAGACCGACGTGCCCTGTTTTGTGAACATTGTCGCAAACCTGGTCATAGTCGGGACCGATGCTGGCTTCTTCATCCCCACCTCAAACCGGTGAAGTTCAAGGATGCCCAACCAGTTCGAGGAGGAGCAAATGCCGCTAGCTCTGTTACACTCACCTCCGATGATATGCTTGGCATCAAGCAATTACTCCTTGCCTTGAAGGACAAGGAGAGTGGTAACGTTTCTTCCTCCTCCTCTCTCGTTAATCAACTTATTATTGCCTCGGGAGCTACTAGTCATATGATTAGTGATATAGGCTTATTGCACAAACTTCGAAAATTTTTTGGTTTGGTATCGGTTGCAAATGGACAGCATGTTCGTATTCAAGGCCAAGGCAAGCTTCGTGTTTTTGATAAATCAGTTGATGCATATCATGTTCCTGACTTCCATACAAACTTATTGTCAATCTCTAAACTCACTTCCGAATGGCCTCATTGCTCTGTCACCTTTACCACTAATGACGTGTTATTTCAGGATACTAGCACCGGGAGGATTCTCGGAAGGGGTATCAAGCGTGACAATTTATATATTCTTGAAGAAGATTTTCCTATTTCCGAATCTGCATTTACAGCTGTTTGGCATGCAAGACTTGGCCATTGTCATCCTAAAGTTTTAAATTTATTAGTTCCTAAATCTTCGTTTGATAATAAGTCATGTGAGGCTTGTATTCTTGGCAAACATTGCCATAGTGTCTTTCCCGAGTCTACAACTCTCTATGAAAATTGTTTTGATCTTATTCATTCCGATGTTTGGACATCTCCTATTCACTCACGCAATAATCATAAATACTTTGTGACTTTCATTGATGAGAAGTCTAAGTTTACTTGGATTTATTTTTTACCGTCGAAATCTCATGTGTTTAATGTGTTTAAACAATTTTATTCTTATGTTACTAACCAATTTGGTGTTAAACTCAAGATTTTAAGAACAGATAACGGAGGGGAGTATTCAAGCAAATAGTTCACGGAATTTCTTAGTTCTCACGGTATTATTCATCAAGCCACATGTCCCTACACTCCTCAACAAAATGGCGTTGCGGAACGTAAAAATCGTCATCTCCTTGAAGTCGCCCGTACCCTTTTGTTCCACATGAACGTGCCTAAAACATTTTGGGAAGATGCAGTGGCTGTGGCATGCTACACAATTAACCGATTACCGATCGGTGTCTTGGACGACAAGTCGTCTCATGAGGTACTTTTCAACGAAAAGATAATATTGATCAATTCCGTATTTTTGGTTGTGTTTGCTTCCCTCTTGTTCCAGATGAACAACGATCCAAACTCGATCCAAAAGGTCTCCAATGTGTGTTTATCGGCTATTCAACAACCCAAAAGGGTTACCGATGCTATTACTCACTGACTCGCCGCGTGCATACTTCTCGGGATGTACGTTTCCACGAACATGTCCCTTATTTCACCAGCAGAGATTGGAGTCCACTAGAGCCCTTGATCCCTTCATCCCCTGCTGCCTACAATGACACAGTATTCCATTTGGTCCAAGAAGCTCATCGTTCACAGAGCACTCCAACAGCTCCTTCTCCAATTGTGACTCCACCGCATGCCCAGTCAGGTGAGTTGTCACCTTCTCCTGTCTCTCTTGTAGGTGATGTCATCGCCGACCTTGATGCAGAGCAAAGCCCTCTGCCACCGCCTACCGCTGCTGCCGTTGACGAAACAACTCTGACAAGAGAAACAGATTTGAGAACAGACCTAATCGACACAGCAACGCCCATGAACCAGTCCGAGAATGCAGATTTCGAACTCTCAGAACCCTCAACAGTCTCGGCCGCTTCTGGGAACGAACAACCCACACTTTGTCGAAGTTCACGGATAAAAAAGCCCACATGGAAGATCAAGGAGAACATGTTGACACGTGGTCCTACAGCCTTGACAAGCAAAAACATGGTATCTTATCCAATTGAAAACTCATATTCTGTTACCTCTTTACCCATTGATGCATAATTTTTTTTTTGAGCTCTATAGACCAAGATTTTGAACCGACTTGCTATAGTCATGCAAAGGATCATAAGGTATGGCGAGATGCTATGGAAGAAGAACTTCAAGCTCTTGAAAAAAATGGAACATGGGTGATCACTGATCTTCCATCACACAAGCAACTGGTTCGAAGTAAATGGGTATTCAAAATCAAACGTCGAAGCGATGGACAAATTGAAAGATACAAAGCACACCTTGTAGCCAAGGGCTATAAACAGACATATGGAGACGACTACACTGATACATTCGCTCCCGTAGCCAACCTTAAATCGGTTAGAGTTCTTCTCTCTTTGGCTATTAATTTAGATTGAGATTTATGGCAGATGGACGTCAAAAACGCGTTCCTACAAGGCGATCTTGAGGAAGAAATCTACATGTTACCCCCACCCGGCCTTCGTGATCGCCTTGGTAAGGACAAGGTTTGTCGGCTTCGTAAAGCCTTGTACGGTTTGAAACAATCTCCTAGAGCTTGGTATCAAAAACTCCATCAAGCTCTAACTTCATTTGGATTCCACCGAAGTGAGGCCGACCACTCGCTCTTCGTACGCCAGACTCCTCAAGTAATATTGTCCTTGTCGTGTATGTTGATGACATTATCTTAACTGGTAGCGATTCCGATGGTATTCAACATACTAAATCTTTTCTTCAAAACACTTTTGATATCAAAGATCTTGGTCGATTACAATATTTTCTCGGTATAGAAATATTACGCTCTACTAATAGTTTATTCATGTCTCAACGGAAATATATCTTGAGCTTCTTAGTGACACAGAAAAATTGGGTGTCAAACCGGCTAAAACACCGTTGG